GGCGGCGGCGGCCGCGGGGGCCGCGCTCCTCACGCACTCCGCCTTTTGGGACCCCACCGTCAGCGGCGACTGGGACAGCGAACGGCCCAGCCCGGCCTGTCTCCTGCGGATCAAACGGTGAGATAAGCCGCTCTTGCCCGTCAGCAGCGGAGCCTCCCGGGCCCGGTGGCCGAGCGGTGCTGCCGGGTGTGACGGCTCCCTTAACGACCTGGGGGGAGGGTGACTCCGGTCCTCGCCTCTGCCGGCCTCGCCGGGCTCCCCCGGGCCTAGCTAGCTGTGGGCCGGCGAACCCCCGCCGCCCTGCCCCGGTGGCTGTTGCGGGGGCTGCCTGGGTGGAAAGCGGGCACGGAGCCTGAGGGTCGTAAGGCGGCAGAGATGCTTGGCTCATCGCCGGTACCCTCGAGGCGGTAATTGTCCCCTGGGCCTCACCATCCCCTCACAAGAGGCCCTGGAGACCTGGGTTCAGGTCTGGGGACAGCCTCCGGTCCTTCCCTGCGTCCCGGGGCTTTCCTGGGGCCAGACCCCGGTCCCAGCCATGCCCCAGGACTCTCCTTGCCCAGGAGCTTGGGCGAGGATGGAGTCTCACACCTCGCCTGCGCTGGAGCTGTGGACCCCTGTACCACCATCCGGGGTCTCTTTCTCCATCTGCTCTTGGTGGGGCGTTTGGCAGCAGAGCTTCTCGGTGCATGGCTCTCAGCCTGCCCTCAGGATCGCTGGGTGCTCCTCAGAGGTGTTGTTAAATGGGGAGGGGAGCAGGCTTCTCAGTCCCCATCAAGGGTCGAGTTAAGATGTTTATCTTAAACCTGCCCGTAGCGATCCTCCTTCCTACCGGTGCCCACCCATTTGGCTGCTCTGACTCTTTAAAGGATCATCTGGTTAAACTTGGCATGTCGATAGCATTTGATATTATGAGCAATATGGTCTTGTATTGTTAGAAATGCTGGCACTGTTTCAACAAGTTCTTCCTCTTCCTTCGGAGCAAGTATTACTGCCTGCCAGGCTCTTGCTCATCCTTGTTCTAGAGCTGTATAATGTCTTCCAAAGATGGCACCAGATATTTGGGCAGTTTCCAACCCAAATGCCAAAACCACTAACCTTGTAAAGGTAGGCAGGAAGGCGAGGCTCTCCTCTTGCTCTCGCACTTGCTCTCGCCTTGAAACCTGTCTGAGCTCTGGTTGCTTCCCAGCTGGGAAGATCGAGTGGGAGCTTGTCCTGGAGCTCAGTGCAGCTCTGATTATGGGAGGGAGGTTTTGGGCTATGAAAGGTTACAGGTGCCAGTCGGTTTGTCTGTAAACTGCACCGGGTTGTAGGTGATTTGTTGTTTTTCAGTTCATTTGGTCAGAGTTCCTAGAAAACGAGGCCATTGTGATCAAGTTGTGTGTGTGTGCATCCTAACTACTCTTGAACCTGCTGTCTGATTAAACCCAAATTTGTCAGAGCAGTAATCTTCTCAAAGGCAGTTGAGTCATGGTATGTTTGGTGAAAACAAATGACTGGGTATACCAAAGGGATTCTGTAAATAGTCTGAGTGTGAAGAAGGAAAACATGGGGAGGGAAAGTCATCCTGTAAACAACAAAACTCACCTAAGAGAACTTTTAAACGACTACCTTAGGGGAAGTTTATGGTTGAAGTTTTATGTACTGAAGCTAATCTATGGGAAGATACAAGGCAGCAGGTAGTCAAGGTGTGTTTGGTCTGGTGCCTCATGAATTGATTCATTAAATAGTGCTTGTGCTCTTGAAATGCCTCAACTATTTTTGGGGATAAGTTGAAAGAGCTCAGCCAGAAAACAGTCAGAGGCAAAAGAAAAATGTCTAGCTCTTTACGAGTTGCAAGTTTCCATCTTAAAATTCTGTCCCTTTGCATCCGTGCACAGATTTGTCATCTAGAACGTTCCTGCACCTCGAGAGCTGATGAACGCCAAGGGAGATCTTGACTAATTCCTGTTTCCTTTGTTCAGGGATATCATGTCCATTTACAAGGAACCGCCCCCGGGAATGTTTGTTGTGCCTGATCCCCACGACATGACCAAGGTAAGAGAAGATTTGGAGCTGGTTCAACTTTCCGTTTCTCTGTATGTTGCTGTTGATGGCTGCTTTAAGGGTTTGCCCAAATGGAGCATTCCCTTAATGTTTTGAGAGAAGTCAGGGTGAGTCTTGCAAATGCATAATGAGGCTCCAGTTTTCTTGGTGACATTGAGATGGGCTGCATTTAAAATGGGAGGAGGCTCTCAAGGAAACTGGCTCTGTGGAGAGATATTATCACAGGCATCTGAGGAGCTTCCACAGATAAAGCCAGCTCTGCTTTAGTGGCCCTGTGAACCAGTGAGGTGTTGATCTAGCTCATTTCATCCTACTGAGGCTTGAAAACAATCAATAGAGTAGCTCAGAGAAGAGCGAGCTCCATGGAAAGCCATTGGCCATGGGGGGCTTCTCGGAGGCTGGAAATGAGAAACATCCATTAGCCACAAGCAGTGCTGGACTATCTGTAATCTGCCTGTGGGACTTGGAGATGTTTAATTGTTGTGAGCTGGTAGAGAGATGCGTCCCTGTACCTGGGCCCTGGCCTGCTGCGGAGCTGCCCGCCGGGTTCTCACAGGTACCAGGGTCGCGCGCAGGTCTGACCCACGCAGCCGGTCCCACCACATTGCCTCCAGCAGACCCGCTCCCTAGGGACAGTGGCATGGCTACGGCCTCTCCTGCCTTGGTTCTTCCCCTCCTGGCTCTCAGGGTTTTCCAGGACTGGGAATTTCAGATTATGTCAGAGAGAATGCAGTGAGCTGGGGGGCAGAGGTTGCTCAAATGGTGTTCTTGATCCGACGTGTTTCTTGGCTGGTGCTGCCCTTTCTCCAGCCGGTGTCACCTGGTCTGGCTGTGCTGGTTTCTGAGAGTTGCGTGTGTGTGAGGTTGCTTTGGTTTTTCCTCTGCTGCACACTTCTCCTACCCCCCTGACAAACATGGCATCCCCCAGATTCCCCCAAATTCCTGCCATGTAAGTGCCTGCCTGGCTTGGGGCCCCTGGGGTTTTGGAGGTGGCACAAAGGGAGTGTCTCTGCACAGTCAACTCCTACCTGGGGCAGTTTTAGCTGCAGCTCTGGCTTCCCTCAGCGTTGGTAGCTGCAAGTGCCAAAATGCCCTTCAACGGAAATGCAGGTTTGTAGAACACTAGCCTTGGGGCTTTTAACTGAAATCCTGGGGAGGTAAGAGGATCATTAAAGGAGACTGCTTGGATCACTTGGGGAGTAAGCTTCCTTAATAGCCCAAAGGGAGTAGATTTCCTGGTATACAATTGGGATCTTTGAGGGTAATTAGCATGGAGAGAATAGGGTCTTAATTTTGGATCCTGGCAGAGGAAATTGAGTGATTGGTTTTAATAAGACCAAATCAGCATGAGACCATAAAATTGAGGAATGCTCTAGTTTTGGCAGAAATTCTGAATCTTTTTCTTTCTAAAATTAGATTATTTTTTTTTCATATTCAAAATCTTCTTTTTTTTTTTTTTTTTTTTAAGCATAGCTTACCAGCTGAACTGTGATTCAGTCTGGTTTGGACTGTATAGAGATGTATGGGAGGCAGCTGTTGTGGACTCTGGCCAAACCTTGTGTTGGAACCTGCTTTGCACATTGAGTGTGGCAGAGGGGAGAGAAGTGTGCAGCAGTGACTCTGGCTAACGAGGGAATGAGGGAGGGTTAAGTATGGCCTGCACATGGCGTGTGCTTGTGGAAGACGCTGCCTCTGTGCTGCTGCCTGGGTGGAGATTTCTTGCCTTTGGTTGGCTTTGTTGAGGATTTGATGGTGCTGCACAATTTTGAAGTGGTGCGCAAGACGGGCTTTTGTTTTCCAGATTCATGCATTGATCACAGGCCCATTTGACACGCCTTATGAAGGGGGTTTCTTCTTGTTCCTGTTTCGCTGTCCTCCAGATTATCCCATCCACCCACCAAGGGTCAAACTGATGACAACGGGAAATAACACAGTGAGGTTTAACCCCAACTTCTACCGCAATGGGAAAGTCTGCCTGAGTATCCTAGGGTAAGAGGAGACTTTGGCTGTTTTGATGGGAAATCAGGAGGTGGCTGCAGGCTGTATCCTGCCTCATGCATCCTTCTCAGCGCATTGTGCCCTGATCTTGCCCCAGACACGTGCTTGGATGCACCTTTGTGCTTCTGTGAAGTCGTGTGCAGAATCGGAGTCGTAAAGCAGCACAAATTCCTCTACTGAAATAAGAGTCTAACTTGTCTTTAAAAGCACCTGAGAACGGAGCAGAGGAAGCACGAAGTTCAGTGGACGCTGCCGCTTTTCTCCTGCTTCCCCTTGCAAAGCCTCAGCCCCAGCACTGCTTTTCTTCTGCTTTTGCGCTTTGCAGCCTGATCCTTAATGTTGTTTGAATGTAGGTTTTTGTGGTTTTAATTTCCTCTCTCTATGTGGGTTTAAAAATAAATAAATAAAATTAAAAGCCACTAAGAACTTCCTTGAGAGCCATTTGACTGCTCTGGGCTTCCACCTACACATAGTATGTGGGGCTGAGCGGTGGGTGTGATGATTTACAAGCACTGCTCCCATGCTGCCTGTTCAAACAGGCTCCACTGCTGCAAATGCTTGTTATTCACCTGCTTGATTTTTAAACATGTGAAAGTCCTGACTGATTGAATGGCTCTTATGGCTCTGCCAGAGGAACCGTGGCCATGGTGTGATATTCCCAACCCCAGCTGTGACAGTTTCAGTTGCCAGTAAAGAAAGGCTTTTGCTGAGACTCTGGACTGGTGCAGCTGGGCCGATAGTACATGGTTCCTTCTGCTGCAGAGAGGTAGTAGCGGCAGCCAGGTGAGGAAAGGGCAGTGATGGCTTGAATTGCTGTAGGGATTTGACTAACCAGCAGGAGCTTGAGCACTGATGTGGTTATAAGACTGCCTTTGCTGGGATGGTTTCTGGAGTGCTATGCATGTGCCACTTACACCAAAGTTGGTCCAAGTAGCTGATACTCATCAGCTGATAGATGCTGGCCCAGGGCTGGTAGAGAGATGCATTGTACTGGGAAACACCTTCCTCAGCGTAGGAGTTTTCCTGATCCAGTGAGCTGGATGCCAGTGCCTGCAAAGCGCTGAGATGTGTAGGGCACATCCATATCTTGGGGGTCTGAATGCCCAGTAGCTCCCACACAAGCTGCCTTGTTGCTCATGCAATTGTAGCCCTGGCATGGAAGCTAAATTATTGAAGAGTGAACAAAGAGCCTCGGCCTTAGCAGAAATGGGAAGCGCAGAGGGAGCTGCAAATGAAAGGATTTAGGAAGAGCATATGTGGGTCAGCACATCCTTGTTCAGCTCACAGGGAGACAGGTCTGTATCTGGAACTAAGATATTAAGGGCAAGAAGCAGAACAGCTTTTTCTGCTTATGCTATTCTGTGCAAACGTTTTTGCTACCCTGTGTGTATGAAATGGGCACCTTATTCCTATAGCAGAGCATCCGTTAGTGCTTTTGATGGGAGTCCTTGTGCTGAGTGTCTGCATTACAGACTGCACAAGTGATGGTCTTGTTTGAGTCTCAAAAGTCAGATTTCAGTTCTTAAGAGTTGTTTTTGACTTACGGTAGTGCTGGTAGCTTGTGTTGCTCCAGGCTGCTGTGCGAGATGATAGCCATAGCTTTAAAGTTCCCTGTAAAATGCTTGGAAATGTTACTTTTCCTGAACTCATGTGTGATGCCCTGTGTGTGTTAGCAGTGGACTGAGGTTTAACAGACTCCCTTGTCTTGCTCAGGCTAAAGTACTCACTTGGTTGAGAGAATAAACTACTTTGACCCTGAAAACTTTCTCTGCGTCCAGTGCTTTCTATATCTGTAGCAGCTGTTTCTTTTCCTGTCGCATTTCTGTAAGGTATAGATGTGGTTTCCCAAGCTTTCTGATCTTTGGTAGTTGGAGGGATGGTGCTCGCTGGGCCAGTCCTGCGTTGTTAATTGATGCTTTTCTGTTTTGATGCCTCAGCACTTGGACCGGGCCTGCGTGGAGCCCAGCACAGAGTATCTCTTCAGTCCTCATCTCCATCCAGTCTCTGATGACTGAGAACCCCTACCACAATGAACCCGGCTTTGAGCAGGTGAGAGCTTAAGGTGGACCATCTCTGGTTCTGCAGCTATTTGTCTCTTCCCTCCACACCTTGCTCCTGGTGGCAAATCCAGTTCTGGAAATGGGGACAAAAGTAGATTTTGTCACTTGGCTCTTTTCCAGCTTGCTCTGCCTCTAGTCAGAGCTTGAGGGGGAGTTGCAAGCCAGCTCTGAACCAGAGGCTGCTTAGCTCACGTATGTGTAAAGTAACAGAAGAACATGAGGCATTCAAGAAGTTGCCGGGGAGATGGGATGGCTCTTCGTTTCTCTGCTACGTGACTCCTGAAATGGCTTCCTTGGGACGTACTGTCATGCAGGAACCAAACTGCTCAGGTCTTCATGGTCTCCAGCATCTCAGAGAGGCAGGTTTCTGTGCTAACTTTATCAGTTGACCTGTCTCCACAGCTGTGTGAGTCCAAGACTCTGGAGACGTGTAAAATCTTGCCAGCTTTTCATTTGCAATATAAATTAGCTCAGCATACACAGAACAGACAAAGCTGTAGTGGGTTCATGCACCAGTGAAATTCATCAGGCCCAAGAGGGAGAGATGAAGAGCCATTGCAGTCGCGTGGACTCACTGGCCCAAATTCTGTTTCCAGGAGAGGCACCCCGGGGACAGCAAGAACTATAATGAGTGCATTCGGCATGAGACCATCCGAGTAGCAGTTTGCGACATGCTGGAAGGAAAGTGTCCCTGTCCTGAGCCATTACGGTATGGAAAAGAGGCATGGAGGGAGCATAAGAAAGTGGGTGTGGGGAAGCAGGATAAACTCCTCTGGCTGCTCTTCCTGAGATCTTGAGAGTTGCTTCAGGGAAGAGCAAGTCTTTACCTCTGCCTAGTCCAGTGAAGAGTCATTTTATTTCCCCTGAAGTGGATGGCTGCATCTGTGTGGTGCCCAGGAGCTGTGCATTGACAAAGGCTGTGTTAATGTGCACAACGGCTGCATCCTCTGACTTGTGTTTGAGAATAAATTTGCCTTGTCTTATGGGGGGGGGGGAATCTCGGAGGGAGGGGAGCACAGCTGTTGTGGAAGCACGTGCAGAATCTCTTCAGCAGCAGTGATGCTGCAGTTCCTTTCGCTCTGTGTCTTTCCTCGTTGTACCCTGTTAGTTGTCTGGGGCACCCTGTATGAGTGTCCATGCTGACTACATGAACTGGAGTTCAGTGGGATGTTGTGACCCTGGATGATGTGACTGTTGTAACACTGTCGTTTTGTGTTGATTGTTTGCTCTCTCATTGCATTCAGGGGCGTAATGGAGAAGTCCTTCATGGAATACTACGACTTCTATGAAGGGGTGTGTAAAGAGAGACTTTATCTCCAAGGACAGACAATGCAGGTGGGTGGCAGACAATTTTCTTGTTGATAACACACTGCCTTAGATAAGAGTGTGTCCTTAGTGACAAACAACAAGGTGCAGCACCTAGAGGTACAGGGAGTGGATCTGGATCTTTTCTATGAACTTTATATTCCAACTTTGAATCACAAAACTGAGACCTGTGATGTTCCTGTGGGTAAAACACTACCACCCCCAAGTTCAGAGTATGCACACAATCTTTTTAAGGCTGTTACGATTTCTGAGTACTGGGCCTGAGACACTCTCCAGGCAAGCAGGTGGTACTTTCAGCAGTGGAACCAGTACAGTTTGCTTTCACGTGGATTTGGTATTAAGCAGGGAAGGCACATGCAGGTTATCCAATGCTGGTGGCAACTGTACTCTATTGCAGTATTTTCCTGTGGGGTCACTGCTAGAGTTTCTCTTTTTCTGAGGTTCCTTTGCTCATACAGCAGATAGGAACTTCTCTGACACTCCCTATTGTGTCAGATGAGATTGAAAGTGGCTGACTGAGTCAAAAGTTACTGGGGGAGGAAGGGGTGGAGGAAGAGTGACAATATGGCAGACACATCTAGACAGGTTGAATACAGGAGCTTGTTTCTGCAGGAAAGTAGACTTTAAAGAATAGATTGCCAAGCTATTTGCATATGAACAGATGTGTCTTCCTCCCTCATCAGCCACCTCTTGTCTGAGTCATTGAGAAATTCCACTGCTAAGAAAAGTTGGAGGTGGTTGATTTAATGATCTTGTGTCTCTGAGCCCTTTCTTCCCGTCAGTGCCGTCACTGGCTTTGTAATTCATAAATTGAAAGCACTCCCGAAGCAGGAGATTTCGTGTTTGGAGTGAGAAATTCCCATAAGGAAGGTCTGTGCCTGACTTAGAGCTGCAGAGAGTACTGAACTGAAGGCTGTGTAGTGAAGTTTGGTGAGGATTGTCAGGTGTGGCCCACTCTTGTTTCTTCTTCAAGGCGCCAGGGCTCAGTTGCTTTCTTCAGGGTTTACGAAGATCACTGTGTTGTCCTCAGTTCCCAGAGGTAGTGACTGCCATAGTTGGTTTTCTGCTTACTTGTAAATAGTAGCGCAGGAAGCATGAACACAACGTGCTGGGGAGATGGTAGTTGTTGTCTTCATGACCTTGTATTTAAAATGAAGTCACTCCAGGCTCAGTATCAGCTGAGTGCTTGCCAGATGTGCTGTCTTGTTAACTCTGGGGCCACATGTTGGCTTGTACCTAAGACTCCCGTAAGATGGGACAGCATAAACACCACCACCACCTTATATAGCCCTGGCAATGTGTTTTCAACCTGGGATGGGGATAAAAGTAGCAAATGTTAAATAGTCTCCAAAGACTTTCTGCCTCTGACTTGGCTACATCTCAGCTGAGAGCCTTGATTTAAAATGAGAATAGCAATGCTTTCATTTGGATGGGGTCTGTGGCACTAATATAAAGTGTGGTCAAGTCTTTGGCCTCTGGATTTAGAGACTTTCATTTGTAATGTTTTCCCTGCCTCCCTGGAGTGGTCCTGAGACCAAATCCTTGAAACAGTTTATTTCCTCAAAGGTGGTAGTAGAAATCCAACCCGTGTCTGCTTGGCCGTTCATCTGTTTTTGAAGTTTGCTTGGGTTTGTAAGGTTTCCCAAAAGAGACTCCAAACAGAAATTATTATCAGTCTTCAACCTTGGCCACGACAGTGGGAAGTTAAGGGGCCGCTCCATCATAAGATGGGATTTAACCCTTAAGTCTTTAGCCATTTGTTGCCCAATTACTACGCACCTTTCTTCTTTCTGCTTCTTGCCGGAAGGATAATGGTCTATATTAATAGGCTTATCTATGGCTTTCTTCCAGGATCCTTTTGGTGAAAAACGAGGCCACTTTGACTATCAGTCCCTATTAGTGCGTTTGCAAGGAATTCGGCAGAAGGTGCAAGAGAAACACCAGCAGGAGAATACAGAAATAGACTCTGAGAGCAGCTCCTCTGAGACAGAGACAGACACTCAAGGTTGCTCTAAAGCTTAGAGCTGTGTTAACAGTGGAGAGGCCAAGCCGTGGGGATGTTCTGTCTTCACACTCTAGAGTACCCCTGACAGACTCGACAACCAAACCAATGCCAGAGCAGAAAAAACTGCGGGATATCTTCTGTCTCCTTTTACTGCTCTGGTGGATAACGCTGAACGAGAAGACTTCATGCTAGACAAAGCCAAGCTTGTGGCAGGCTACTCTTAAAAGGTACTTACTATGCTAGAAAGCCGGAGCATGTGGCATCAGGTTATTTTTTGGAAACACCTACACTGGTTGTGGTTTTTTTTTTCTTTCTCTCCATTTGATTAAAGAATGAGATCTAGACTGCGAATCCTCTTTACAGCTTTTCTGTTCCTAGACAGTGGGCCCTTCCCTGGGGCCATGCTGAATGTGGAGCTGTAGCTGTGGGAGCGCTTTGATGAGTCCAGGGTATGACAGGGCCCATGCACCGTGTGCCCAGGCGAAACCTTTTTTGTGCGGGTTGGGAGAGATGGAGCCTCTCTGCTCTATGGAGCCCATTTACCTGATGTCTTTCTTCTAGACACTGTTCTAGACAGACCAAAGATAAAGAGCAGTGGTGGAATCTGGGCTCCTTTCTGAAAGCTTTACTCACGCCCTGGGTGACTTCGTCCACTGAGACTTCAGGCGCAAAGGGGCAGATGAAAAGTGGAAACTGCAAGAATCCATAAATTGAGTGCAGGTGTGTTCATCCTGGCATTTTGGGGAAGGGAGGGTGAGAAAACCATTGGTCAGAGATGGGGGGAGCACTTAAAAATAAATCTAGTTTGTGTATTTTTTTTTTTCCAAGTGTTGATTTGAATTTAGTATTCTAGACATACTTTATTCTGGCTGCTCTGAATGGAGCTGTTTTGTTTCCTTAACTGAAGTACTCTTTGCTTTCCACCTCTCTACTCAGTGTAATATTTTATTTTCCTCCCTTCTTCCTCCTGTCACCTCACTCCCTGCTGCTACCTTGATCCATCAGATTGAAACGCTAGAGTAAGGGGCAGTTCTAGCTAAGGAAGCCACTGTTTCTGGCTGGAGTTCTTCGGAGGTGTACGCCTTGTTACTGACAAATTCCTTTGCCAAACTTGGCCGAGCGCAAGCTAGCTGAGTGTCATAAAGTTTAACACTTCAGTGCATTGACCGTTTTAAACAGCAGCTTTTTACTGTGAGCGAAGGCCGGCCTCTTGGAGAGGTGTCTGCTGGCTGCGAGTGCCATTACATCAAAAGATGTATTCGGTGTAACTTGGGTGGAGGTGAAATACCCAGTTTCTCCAGGTAAATGACCCTGGTGATGATTGATTGGAGCAGTATAATGTTTTGTTGATAAAGAGCTTAATCTAATTTTTTTTTTTTTTTTTTTTTTTTTTTTTTTTTTTTTAGTATTTTTATGGGAGCTTTGATAGAAAGCTAAGCACAAAGTTGCACATTGTCCTGGGCCCTCTCCCAGTTTCCTTAAACACCTTCCCACCAGCTTGGCCCTGTTTCAGACTCCTGATGGTGGTGGGAGAACTTCCAATGCAGTCATCTTTGTTCTAAAAAAAGTGCAGAAAGAGGGGCCAAAAGACCCCTGCCGTATGCTGTACAGAAAGGCAATGCCCCATGCGTCACTAAATTATTTTCAGTCTCTGTGATTTATATCAACTCTTGCAGAACTTAAAAGCCTGCACACTGCTGCTTCAGCAGCTCTGAAAAGCTGAAAGGTGGAAACATTTCTGAATTGTTAAGGTGCCGTTTAACAACTTGGGAACCTTTTTTCCCTTTAGCAAGCAAACTCCCCTGGGTCTGTCATTGGCTTGATTTAGACTTAAACCCTGTCTTCCCTTGAGGGAAAGCCGAACTTACACAGGACTCGCTCAATACATACACCAGATGAGAGTAAATAATGCGGTGTTCACCTTGAAATGAGGTCTTAGGGAGGCAGCGGAGTCTCCCGAGAAGTCATGAGCTGTGTGCTACTTCACCGCCTCTTTAATCCCATTGTAAATGTCACGTTGTTTTTCACCATTCAGTAGCATTGTGGGTAGAGCTGTGACTCTGCTGCCTTCCCAAGGCAGAGCTGGTTCTGAAATCTGTTTGTGATGCATGTGGCGTTACCATCCACCGATACAACAAAACAAGAAAATGCCTTATTGTGGACACTATTCACATAACTAGCATGTGGCTGTAAAAGAAAAGTATTAGTTTTATAGCTCTAATGTTGTCTGTCCTACCATTTCTGAATGTTTCCATTTCAAAGTGACAATCCTCAAATGACTGCTCTAGGCAGAGATGTTTTAGCAACAGATTTTTAGACCTAATTGAGTTGAAAATATATGCACAAGAGTCACTCTAAGATACCTTGTTTATATACTATTGTACATAAGATTTTTTTTGTGCAATAAAGTTTGTTTTGGCAGAATCTAGACTGTGGTACTCCTTAGTGGAACAACGACTCATTCACAGAGCAGAGAGGACTGCAGAACAGTTTCTCAGTGTCACTGCTGGCTCCCAAGATTCTTTAGGCAGAGTCACACTTGTGTCCTCCGAGACTGCAGTTGCAGTAGCAGCTTAGATTAGATAATTTTCCTCTTGCTGTGACAAGGTAATTAGTTGTCTGTAACGGTAAGTGGCATTTCCACGCACAACAGAGGAGAAAATTCAGAGGTAAGCAAGTATGAGTTAGTCCTATTAAACTTTTCAAGCTAGACACTTTTTACAAAACTTTATTTCAAGTCCGCTGTCCCTGTGTTTCAGGTGATATGCAAATAACCTCACAAGAAGAATTATATACAGGCACAGAACACATATCGGTCAAGGTATTGCCTCCTTGGCTTCCTCTGGAGTGATATCCTGAGAGTACAGCTCTGTAAAGAGAGCAGGCAGCCAGTACTGAGGTTCTCCTGCTGCCTGAGTATCCAGCCAGGCCATTCCTTCTTTCAGCAAGTGTTCCTATACAAACAGAGCGGAAACTGTGAGTGAAACTTAACTAAATGGCTGAGAAGCCATTCACAATAGAGGCCTGGCCCCACATTTATTTTAGGGTAAGGGCGGGGGGGGGGGGGGTGTAGCACTAGGGCTACAATAATCTTTTACTCAACTGGACTTGGAGAAATATAGTTCAGACATCCAGCCATGCCCACCCTGCATGTTTATGTAGGACCTGAGCTAACAAGATTCAAGTTTTAACGGAGATTAGTGAAGCCACAGGAGTATCTGCAGCTTCTGAGAGTCTGCTTTCCTCATTCTATGTTTATGCAGCGTGTACTCTGCCCTTGGTGTACCAGCTAGCTTAGGATCCCCTGTGCATGCCATGATAACACATCCCCAGCCAACTGTCTGCTGCAGGAGCAGTCACTCTACACTGTCACTGAACTCCACTGCGCACATGAGACCTTCATACATACCAGCACTTGCTTTGCACGTTCCGTCTCCCACTTCAGACTGGACCTGATCTCACTGACTGTTACATAGCCCTTTTTCTGAAATGAGAGGAAAACTATTGTGTGCTTACAGTCAAGACTGAAGTCCATAGTTTAGAAGAGAGTGTGGGAAGTTTTGCCTACAGGCCTGGTTTAATCACAGTTCCCTGTCATGGAAGCAATAAGGTTCTTTCAAGGTGGTTGTATTTTAAAATATCCTGCCTCAATACCTCTGCCAGCTGCAAGACGACAGTGTGATCCATGTTCAGTTCAGCTGGCACCGACTGGATCAGATATGTTCCACCAACAGGAATAATCCCAAAGCCATTCCCCAAGACCTTCAGTTTCTTGATTGCACGAAGGAGATCATCCCTGAGAAGCAGAGGTCAATGCAAGGCTTTAAAGCAAGAGCCTCTCTGAAGCTGCCCACTATGTTCCGTAAATAAGGAAGAACTGATGTGCAGAAGCTATGAGCAATAATAGCTCTTTGGAGCTTGCTGCAGTTTCAGGTAATCAACAGCTGAAAAAAAATTTTATAAAGCAATTTAGAATTAGTTTGCCTATCTGTGGCCCCCTTCAGAAGTGCAGACTTGCATTAGAGACACACTTGTAGTACCTGAGCTGCAAGTGCTAAACTTTAAGATTCAGCCCCAATTAGTGATCATGATGGCGAGTTGTGTCCTAAAATCTGCTTCTGTAATGACATGTGTCAGTCCCTTACAGCTCAGGAGACCTCAGCAGACTGTGCCTCAGTAAGAGAGCTGGATTTGCAGGGTACTAATTGTCTCCAGCTCAAGGCAAGAGTCCTTTATGCCTTTGGGCTCCCAGAGAAAGCACACTGCTGCTTTCTGAAACGGTTAAGTTGTTAATTGTGGATCATGTGTAAGTGGCTCCATTGCTAGAAGCTACATTTGGAGTCCAATTAACAGCAGCACTTTGAAGTGCTGCTGAGGTCACCCTTTTCTTCCCCAAATGCTACTTGAGTCCCCTTTCCTGCAATACACAGACACTCACTGGCTGACATCCTGAGCAAACTTCCCCCTTCCCTTCAGCACTTGCTGATGAAGTTCTTCCAGTGTTATCAGACCTAGGAGTGAACAAAAGGGGACAGGAAAGCATTACAGCATAGCAACAAAATTACTCCAGCAAGAGCAGTCAAGGGTCCTTTGTCCATTTGCCGCTGGCTCACCCCTGCCTGCGATTTTACAAGCGGCTGTTCATTGTTCCCAGTATCCAGCCTTGGGTGAGATAAGCACTGAGTCCCTTCTGTTCCCAGAACTAACATGCAGCAGTCAGCTGTCGCCTTCTCCCACAAATGTATTGGACTCAGGTTTCAGCTGGCTTTGCTGCAGCCCTTTCCTGGTCTCAGATTGCCTTTTTCGGAGTGAAGAACATCTACACTCTTTTCATTAGGCACTTATCACTAGTATTCCAACTCTTTGGGATATTGCTGTGATCCTTTAGAGACAATCTTAGTGCCAGGCTCAAAGCAGTAACTTATCAGTTTCATACTACTTCAAGATTGGCATTGATGCCTGCTCCTTCCCCACCATACTGCGAGTTATGGTTTTGTTACCTAAACAGAGTTGGTTGATTTCTGCAGGAATCAACGAAGCTGGGTGATTACCAGCGGTGTAGCCTTTATACATGTTATAGAAACAAAACAAGGCTTTTTGGGGACAAGGAAGACAAAACTGCCACCTCCGTAATTTGTGAAATCTAGTAAAGAACACTAGACTGAGCCATGCGACTCATTTTCTGCAGGGAAAGGGTATCCTCCTATTAGCTGTATCTCCTAGAAACGACACACAGTGGGATCCTCACCTCCATTCCTGTGTTTCAGAGCCAGGCAAACTTCAATGATCTGCACACCCAGTTCATAGTAAAAGTCTCCAACTCCCAACATCTCTGACCAGAATCCTTTACCAGCTGTGAAGTGAGAAAGGGGAAAGCGATAGGACCATTGGCAAAAATATCCTTCCTTAACAGTTACTGGTGCCAGGCAGGCTGCTTGCAAACCCCGCTGTGAGGACTCTCAGAACCGTCACTGAAGAGTCTCCATTTTGGTTACTGTTTTCCCTCACCCTTTTAAGTAAATAACACCCAATGGTACATTACACCAATTCACAAACCCCAAGAATCAAACCAGCATCAGCTCTCCTCACGGAAACTGCAGCTTCACTGCGAGCTGTTTCCAGTATGAGAACAGTGAGATGAATCCTTAGTCATTAACCCTGGTGCCTGTTCCTCACATGCCAAAGGATCCACTCCAATTGTTGCACACATATCCTGGAACTGGACCCGGAACTCGGGGTTTTTACGGATCTCTTGCTTGTGTTTGCTGGCAAACTCTTCTAAGTTGGTCTTAAACATGTCCAGCTGCTTAGACATCTGAAAGAGAATTGCAGAGAAGTGTTTCTGTCTTAACACTTACTTAATGCAGTTTTTGCATCAACACAGCCCCCAACAGGCCCTAAGTCAGCAGAGTCCTCCAGAAACACTGAGGACAGGTCTCTGATGTGCTGCCTACCCAGTGGTCTTAAAGGAAGGAAACAAGATAAAATCACTCGATGAAGTCAGAATTCTCCACGCTTTTAACACTGAATTCATATCAATATCAGACCACAGTGGAGATATGACAAGGCAAAGGGCTGTTCTGAACCAAGAGACAGGCTCAGAAGGGGAGGCAGCAGTTATTCTGTGACGTACGTGGGGCAGAAACAGTTCTACAGAAATGAGATGTTGCTGAGGTCTCGAGAAGGGAGGCAGAGCAAGACCTGTAGCAAACATCACAGCTCTCTGATGGAGATGGATGCCATCATTATCCACGCTGCTCACGGATAATGCTCTGCACACCAAAGCAGAGGGGGAAACGAAGCCCAGGTTTGCGGCTGGGCTCACAACCACGGTTTTTCCCACTGCCAGGGCAGGGGTGGATCTCCCACCTGAGCCAGCTGGTCTTCAGCCAGGACCGTCCCTCGCTCCTTGTACTTTGCCTGCAGGAGGAAAACGGGATGATGGAGACAGCGCTGAAGGACAGATGGACCAGAAACCAAACACTGGATGAGGGAGATGCTCCTTTCGGGATGGACGAGCCAGGAGAACGCGTGGCCCCGGTGCCCTGGGCAAGCGGGGAGCCTGCCAGCAAGCTCAGGGCGCCCGGGACTGGGAGCAGGGCTGGTGCAGACTGGGATGGCAGATAGGAGGAGGAGGAGGAGGAGGAGGATGTCCCCCACACCCCCCGCCACAAGGCCGAAGGGGCCTGCCCCCCCCTCCCCGGTACCAACGGAGCTTGGCAGCTCCCCCCCCGAGACCGGTGGGGTCTGGCACCCCTCCGGACCCTGGCAACCCCCCCCCACGGGGCCATAGGATCCTGACACCCTTCCCACGGACCCGCTGGGTG